GCGCTCCCGCCCGAGGGTTCGGATCCCACATACAGACCGGTTCCCGTTCACTGGCTGAGCGAGGCGCGGGAGCAACACCGAGGGTTGCAATCCCGTTGCCGGACACGGAAAAAAGACAAAAGACAAAACAAACAAACAAAAAAAGATAACATGAATCCTTCCATGAACTTTTTGAAGTACACTTATACATACAATGGAATATTATTTGCCTTAAAAAGGAAGGAAATTCTGACACATGTGGCAACGTGGGTGAACCTTGAAGACATTATGCTAGATGAAATAAGCCACACAAAAGGACAAATATTATAAGTCTCTACTAATATGAGATACCTGGAATAGTGAAATTTGCAGAGACAGGAAGTAGAACAGTGGTTGCCGGGGGCTGAGGGGAAGGGGAAATGGGTAGTTAGTGTTTAATGGGCACAGAGTTTCAGTACGGGATGATGCAAAAGTTCTGGAGATGGACAGGGGCATAGTTGCACAGCAGTGTGAATGCACTTAATGCCACTAAACTGTACACTTAAAAATGGTTAAAGTGGTAAATTTTATGTTACGTCTATTTTACCACAATAGAAGAAGGAAGAGGAGTAGGAGGAGGAGAATCTAAAGGGAAGAATTCATTTTGCAAACATTTGCCAAGCACTGCTCTGTGTTCAGCCCAGGGCTGGATGCTGAGGAAGCAAAGGTGGGACACAGCCCCTGGCAAGGAGCGCACATATTAGAGAGATAAATTGACCAGTAACACAGATCGTGGCGATCCAGTGTGGAAATGGGAAGAGGACCACATCCGCGAGGGTCGGGAGTGAGCTATGGCTCACTTCCACCTTCCACCCCTACCTCCCGCATCCGAGCCTCGCGGCAGGCATCTCTCCCCCAGACAGAGGCACTGGCTCTTAACTGGCATCTTGCTTCCCCTCGGGCCGGTTAAGCCCATCTGCCATCTAGCAGTCCGAGAGTCCCAGGAACACATAAATTAGTTCATCTCACTCTCCTACTCTCCATGCACTTAAAACCCGAATGCCTAACGGAATGTAATTCTCAGAAGGTTAAAAACATAATTCTCATGAAGATCGATAGTGAGCACACGTCAAAGTGTTATTTAACTCATTAATAAGGGGATCTGCAGGATGACAACGTGGATTCAAAGGAGACTTTGAGAATTCTACAGAGAATGGAAAAAAAAAAAAAGGAATAAGATAAGATTGCTAAATTAGACACTGAACTGATTAATGACAGGGCAATGAAAGTATAACCTTTGGGGACAGAAAAAAAATCATTGAAAGCCAGAACATTTCATCAGGTGTAGAGAACTGTAAGATGACTGGGCCTCAACTGATTGGGCAAAGTTCTAGTCCTGCAGTCAGATGACCCTCAGGCAGAGCTGTCAGAAAATGCTCTAAGCGTTAGGCTAAATGGTCACATAATCACATATTTGTATTATTTGCAAGTTTGGGATAATTTTCTTAACACTCCTTAACATAATGGAAGCCACACAACCCAGCCCCTGCCTCCCACTCTGGCCTGATTTCCCTCCACGCTCCCCCTTGCTCACCCAGTCCACCCTCATCAGCCTCCTTCTTCTTCCTGGAAATTGGAAGCAATGTCCCTCCTGCCTCTGGGCCTTTGCACTTGCTGTTTTCTTTGCTGGGGACAGTATTCCCCTGGTTCTCAGCATGGCTCACTCCTCATCACTCAGGTCTCCCTGCCCCAAATGGCTCCCACCCTCACTCATGCCCTAACATGTGATCCTACTTAATGCCCTACTATAGTTTCCAAAATTACCTGAAATCATCTGGTCTATTTTTGGTTTGCCTGTATATTGACTGACTTCCTCAACTAGAATGGAAGCCCCATGACGACAAGTGTTATGTCATTTTTTCCTCTGTTGTCTCCCCAGAGCTTAGACAAGGGCCTCAGTAGGGATTAAACAAGTATCTGTCGGATGCCTGAGGAGCCTCTGACGTTCTCCCCACCTCTGCTTCTTTCCTGCTCTTTCTACTTGCACGTCTTTCTCCTTATTTTTGTCTTTCTCTCCATTCCGTGTCCTCCTTTTTCTGTCTGTCCCCCACTTTCCCCTTAAGTGACCATGATATGGGATCAGAGTGGGTTAGTACTTATCCCTCTTCATGTATCTGAGAAATCCCTCTGCACTGCAACCCATGGTGGGTGCTGATAGGGTTCAGAAATGAGTCTGATACAGTTCCTGGCCTCAGGGCTGGATGGCCACCTCTCACGGTGGACGGCGCCCCGTGCTGCAGGACAGAGGCAGATCCGGGCTGTGGGGCACCACCAGGGACAGCTAGGGAGGGCCGTGGAAAAGGAAGAGCCTGGGATGGGAACCGTAGGTGGAGAAGCAGCAGGAATACAGGCAAGGAGGTGGGAAAGGGAGACAGGGACAGAAACAGCCCAGCTCACGCCAGCAGAGAGTGATGAGGACAAGGTGGCCTGGCCTCAGACTGAGGAGGGAGGGCTCCAGACACCAGGCGAGGGAGTTTGGTTTGTATACTGCAGATAGTCAGGAAATAATTTGATTTTTTAATTTCAATTTAATTTTTCAATTGGCCAAGTTTATTTTGTCTATTTATTTTTTTAGCCAAGAAAGAAAGAGAAAAGGAGAAAAAGAGAGGAAGAAAAGAAGGAAGGAAGGAAAAGGAGAAAGGGACAGAGGGAAGAAGGCAGATTAAGCTCTGACTGCTTCTTGGAACCCTCTATTAATTATCTCTGTTCCTTGATTGAAAGCAATGCTTCTCACCCTCAGCAGAGCACAAGCAGCTATAATAGAGCAGTTCATGTTTTAATTGTGTCTACTGTGATTTACTGAATCATTTCTAGTTTTAATAGATTTCTGTAATGATTTTGGCTTGTTTTCTAATCTACAGCTAATGACAATGATAATATGGTACCTCAAGATTGATAATCAGAGTTGCATTATAATAATATTAGCAACAATGAATTTATTAATACTTGTTTGCTCAGCAAACATTTTTCAGATACCTAGTCCGTGCAAGATTTTGTATTAGTAATGATGTCCTGGCTTCTCACAAATACACACTCTTGGATATATCAACTCAAATATCTGAGAATAGTTGGCAACAAGTATTGGAGCTGGAAGAATCTTCCAATGCTCCCAAATGTTTATCTGACCCATTTTTCACAAGAGTGGGTGTGGTCGGTGGAGTTTTGGCCCCATGACCTTCGCCTCTTGGTGTTACTCCCACGAACGTTAGGTTGTATGGCAAAAGGGACTTTTGTAATTAAGTAATAAGGGTTACTAACCAGCTGATCTTAAATTATTATCCAGGTGAACTCAATGTAGATACACAAGCCCGTAAATGCAGAGCTCTTTCTTTGGCTGGCAGCAGAGAGGAAATCAGAGATTTGAAGCATAAGCTGGATTTGATATGTCATTTCTGTTCTGAAGATGAAGAAAGCCACATGTCAAGAAAA